GAAAGTCCCACGAGTGGTGCATTGGAGCAGATGTCTCCGGCAAATGATTTCCAGCGTCCTGTTTGGCTACTACATTTGAGCAAATTTCATTCCTTCTTGGAATCATTGTTTGGCCTTGCTTTTTCAAGTGCATCAGTCATCCTTCCAACTCTACGGCCAATTTCCGGTGCCGTGATTACAGTTCTCAGCTCGGTACATTTACTTCTTGCCATTCGCCCACTTTTCCTCTCTCCCTGACAATCATAACATAGAGAATTATCCATGTAGCCTGGCATATCACGTCCTGGTTTACATGCTCCAATATTCGTAGCTTGTTTATTCAGAGCCTGAATCTCTTAACGTGGCGCCTTGTCAATATTGGTGCGGCGGACACAAAAGTACTGAAAAAAATAAGTGTGTGTCTTGGGAAGAAGGAAAGTAACAAGCTGGAGAAGAAAACATCAGCTATATGCTTCATCTCTGTGTCCAAAAATACACCAGGAAACCTCTGATCAATCTGGGCTTTTGGCGACATCTTTTATGGCAGCTATTTTAGGAAAATGTCCGTAAGGTTTCAAATGGATCTATTGTCCCAGAAAGCTGAACAGGGACACACACCCCCAAAAATAGTTTATAATTTAATGGAAAGCCATTTTTGCAGCTTGAAATTAGGGTAGAGTTATCTTTGAAGCTTGGGAACTTCAGTAGGTTCAAGAGAACTGCCAACATTTTGACTGGGTCCAGGGGATTCTCATTGGATATTGTTGTGTTTTAAGGGTTGTTCTGACTCTCTTGGGGTCCACAGAAGAGTAGGCAGCCATGGGGGGGCTGTTTAGCGGCCTGAAACCGCTCCCCTCCTTTGGAATTTTAATTATTTTATTCCTGTTTTTCATTATTTTGTATATTTGTATAAAGCTTTTTTTTTGTTTTTATGTCTATTTGCACACCGTCCAGATTCACTTTCTGAGGGAGATGGGTGATTTCTAAATATAAATAAATTTCAAAATCTCTAGGTCTGTCCTTGCCCAAATTTCCCCAAAGACTCTATTTGACTTTCAAAAATCCTTCTTTCTACTAACCCCTGAATCACGATGGCCTCCGTGAGGATGGCAGGCAGGTTGAGGAGCTGTTCCTTGGGCACATCAAGGAGTCTACTGTACTTTTCAAGTATATTCTGTCCAATAAACAAAGACCACTCAGATTGTGCCGCAATGTCTTGACGCGCTTCCTGTTGTCATCTGCCTGATGATACCATGACACGTGTTATGTCACTTCCCCCACTGTCACCCCAGTGGATATCCATGAATAAAACCAGTTATAAACTTTGAAAATCAGAAAAGTTGGTTTTACTTGTTATCTGCCTTTTATATAAATGTAATCTCCCTTCCCTTCTCTTCGTTTTTCTCTTCTCTTTCCTTTTCCTTCTTCCTTTCCTTCTTCCCTTCCCTTCATTTTCCCCCTCCTCTTGCCTTCTTTCCTTCTTCCCTTCCCTCGTCTTCATTTTTCCCTCCTCCCTCCTCCCTCTCTCCTTTCTTTCTCTTTCTTTCTTTCTTTCTTTCTTTCTTTCTTTCTTTCTTTCTTTCTTTCTTTCTTTCTTTTTCTTCTTCCTTTTTCTTTCTTTCTCTTTCTCTTTCTTTCTTTCTTTCTTTTTCTTTCTTTCTCTTTCTCTTTCTTTCTTTCCTCCCTCCCTCCTTCCCTTCCCTTCTCTTTTCTTCATTTTTCTCTTCGCTTTCCTTCTTTCCTTCTTCCCTTCCCTTCATTTTTCCCCTCCTCTTGTCTTCTTTCCTTCTTCCCTTCCCTCGTCTTCATTTTTCCCTCCTCTCTCTCTCTCTCTCTCTCTTTCTTTCTTTCTTTCTTTCTTTCTTTCTTTCTTTCTTTCTTTCTTTCTTTCTTTCTTTCTTTCTTTCTTTCTTTCTTTCTTTCCTCCCTCCTTCCCTCCCTCCCTCCCTCCCCTTCCCTTCCCTTCCCTTCCCTCCTCTTCATTTTTCCCCCTCCTCTTCCTTCCTACCTATTTCCATCTCTTTTCCCTCTCCCTTCCTCTTCCTCTTCCTTCCTTCCTTTAGCATCAAAGGCTGCTTGATATGTTGGAAGAAGAGCGGGAAATCTTAGAAGACAAAACCAAAGAATCCTTGTTGCAACAATCCCAGGAATACAAGGTACATTTACTTTTCCACCTCAGAGGGCTGCAAAATCTTGACACCGTTTAAAAAGAGGGGTCATTGAGAACCCAGAAGAATCTTTCAGAGGTTAAACAACATTTTCTTTCACAAGGACGCAACATCTAAGCAGAAGGCCTTGAACCATGAAGAGGGGTCCAAGGCAAAAGTAGATTGGGTTTATCCAAGACAGAGATGGGGAACTATGGCCCTTTCATGACCTGTGGACTTCAACACCCAGAATGCCTGAGCCAGCCAAGCTGGCTCAGGAATTCTGGGAGTTGAAGTCCACAGGTCCTGAAAGGGTCATAGTTCTGCACTCCTGATCTAAGAGAAGAAATAGACATGCAGGACCTAGGATGCAATTGTAAAAGCTAACCTGGTGCAATTTACTTCCACCATGAAGATGTTTTTGCACCTTTATATTTCATTCCCTTTTTCCTTCATTTTGCTTTTCTTTTTAAGAACAGAGTTTGTCTCTCCATCCCTGCAGGATAGTAATAACAATAATAATAAAGTTGGAAGGGACCTTGGAGGTCATCGAGTCCAACCCCCTGCTCAGGCAGGAAACCCTACACCATTGTGGACAAATGGCTGTCCTTGTCTCACCTTGTCAACCATTATTGACTTAAATAATCTTCAATTGATATTAACTATTTCTAGGCTGCTTTTTAGGGCAAAGGGCCTCCCCAAAAAATAGCTTATATATAAAATTGGGATAAAAAGTTAATAAGCATGACAACAAACACATTTATGCTGGTCTCACCTGGCTTGCTGTGGCCCTGAAAATAATATTCTGTGACAAGACAGCTGGGTGTATCCGCCTTCCCTATAAGAATCCTGAAATAGAATCCAGAAGATTTTTCTAATCTAGAGGGATGTTTTAATTCTGGCTTGTCGGGAAGGGAACAAGCTTCATTTTCCTAGTTGGATTCATCGCTAGACTACAAATGGGTCCCGTCTCGCTCACTTCAGCTGACTTCAGATTTGAACATCGACACCAAATCCAAATTCCGTTCCAGCATCTGGTTGGCCAGCTGTGGTCCTTCCAGATAGCGTAATCTGGAAGGAATGGCGTGTCGCCTTAAGAAGGCTTAGATCTTTTAGAAAGAAAGACAAAACACAAACTAAATCCTTTGGAAGAGGCCTATTTGTGAGAGAAGCAAGGTGATGAGCAAATGATGAAATGGGCTCTGCCTCTTTGGTGGTTGTGTTGTTGTGTCACAGGAGGTTACAAGACACCTTTCATCATTCTGACAAAGCCTCTGGCTTCTGTGGACATCCATGCTTTTCGGAAAATACGGTATATATTTTTTGTTTTTACAAGCTGTAATACTTTTCACTGTGCTTTGTTTCCAGGAAATGTTGGAAAAATGCATGGAGAATGAAAGGGAACGTAATAAGGAGGCTTTGGCAGATGCTGCAAAGGTATCTTAGCATGCAAAAATTGTCCCTGGGGGACCTTTTGAAGCTCCCTTTGATGTAGTTGATGGGACTGCACCAAGTCAACATCTGGAATCGGGAGTTCTTAATGAGAGGGATTTTTTTTTATTGTTATGCTGAGTTTTTATTCTTCTTGATTTGTTGTTGTTAATTGCGAAGTCGTGTCCGACCTATCGCGACCCCATGGACAACGTTCTTGATACCTCAATAGTTTGATATGATCCTGATTTTGTTTTGACGATCCTCGTCCACTTTTGAAGAAGACAACGGGAAGTCAAAGGGAAGATTTTTTCGTGACTCTTGAAATCTACCCCCGACAGGTGAGACTTTTCGAAATGGATCACCTATAAAACTCTTCTTCGATAAAACTGGTTAGTTAAATCCAACTCCTATCTTATTTTAATTTTCCTTATTTGGCCAAGTGGGATTGGACACACATAAGCTCTCGGTGTACCTAGAAACAACAGAGTGATAAATCATAAGATACAAAAAGTAATATAGGATACCAATACAAGAAGGTAATAGGAAGGATGAGAAGGATAATGGCAATATAGCCCTACTACATGGGTAAATATCCTTACACGCAAGACGGTGTGGTGGGAATTAAGGGTTTAGCAGAGTGATGACACAAGGGAAAAAACTTTGTGTGTAGTTGTTTTTGCATGCCATGCCCTATATTTATTATTACATGTATTTATTATTATATCATAATATATTATATTAATTATATTATTTTCTTAATACAATGGATATATTATATATCTTATATTAACATATATATTTATATATATATATATATATATATATATATATATATATATATATAAATATATATATATAACAGATATAATTTTATTATATTATAATATAATGCAATGCCTTATAGTTATTAGTAATTATATTATTTTCTCAACACAATGAATATATTATATATTTTATATTAATTTATATAAGATATAATTTTATTATATTACTAGCTGTACCCGGCCACGCATTGCTGTGGCTCACTCTGGTTAAATGAAAAACAATGAAAAAAGCATGTTTTTACCTGTCACAGGTGTGACATCTATATAATAGTAGGTATATAAAAACACGCACGTATTCGAATGCAACGTTGTGTCAAAATTTTAAAGCAATCGGTGAAGAACTTTCGGAGATTTAAGATTTTGAACAAACGAACATTTACATTTTTATTTATAATATTATATTATAATGTAATGCAATGTCCTATATTTATTATTGCATATATATATATATAATTATATTATAATATATTAATTATATTATTTTCTTAATATAATGGATATATTTTATATCTTATATTAATTTATATATTTATAAATATATATATTTATAAATATATATATAGCAGATATAATTATATTATAATATAATGCAATGCCCTATAGTTATTATTACATATATATATATATATATAATTATATTATAATATATTAATTATATTATTTTCTTAATATAATGGATATATTTTATATCTTATATTAATTTATATATTTATAAATAAATAGATATAATTTTATTATAAAATAATGCAATGCCCTACATTTATTATTATATATTTATTAATATATAATAATATATTATATTTATTATATTATATTATTATTATAATGGATATATTGTATCTATTATATTAATTTATATATTTATAAATATCTTGAGTTTGGTGCACCCTGTCGGCCCAAATATTTGGGCCGACAGGGTGCACTAAACTCAGGATAATTCTTCTCCCCTGTCTCATAGCTGACAAAGTGAGAAAGAGCCTGTGGTCTAGAGGTTAATACATCTGCCTAACATGCAGACAGCCCAGGTTCGAATCTCAGAAGGATATGTCTGGTTGAAAAGAACTAAAAAGTTCGAAATGGCTATTCCAGTTCTCCCTTAATTCTTTGTTAGCAATCCAAATTTATAAATATATATAACATATACTTTTATTATATTAATTACTTTATATTATAATTAATATAATATATTACATTATATTATTATAATATATATATTATGTTTATTATTATTGTGTGCCATTGTGACATTTTACTTCCTGATCCTGACATAACTCCCAGCCAAGCCTCCTGCCTATCTATGGCCTCACTTCTCCTTTTATGTAGGTGAGGATACGAACTGTGGAAAAGAGGGCCCTTCTTCACATTTGTCCTTACCATATAATGCCCACTAGCCATGCTGAAAATAATATTTCCTGTCCCTGCCCTGTTATTTTGTGGCTAGCGAGGAAAGACTATCATACTGTATGAACAGAGAATACAGTTTTTATAGCCCAGTAAGTGGAACTAATCTTTGGCTGATGTTCATAATTCGTTCAATTGGTTTTTACTGCAGAAGTGTTCGGTCTAAAAGCACTTATTCAGAGAATCTCCCAAGAACTGTTTTAAAGAAAGATGGAAACTGGAAATCCAGTGGTGCAGGGAACAATGTTTTCAGTTTCCAAAATTAACCCAGTCTTCGGAATTAGTTTAAATAAACTTGAGGGCCTTTTCTCAAAACAACCTTTTGACATTTTAGGGATTGTAGACAACATTTTGGCTCCTGACCCCAACTGCTGAAATGCCCGTATTTTAGATTCACGTTGACTTTGTTGTTTGATACGCAGCTTGAAAAAGAGGATTTGCAGGCTGCCATCCTAGCAGCGGTAAAGGCTGAAAGGGAAAGCATGGAAAAAACTCACGACCAAGAAAAAGAATTATGGCAAGCCGAGAGAGACAAAGATCGTGAGAAGATTGCTCAAGCGGTAGAAGAAGCAGTGGAACGGCAAAAACAGAAATCCGAAGTTAGTGAATTATATGTTCCACGTTTTACGTTTATGGACCTACCTGCCCATCTATGTAAATCGGTGTGGGTGTTATTTATCCGGATGTTTCTGAGCCACGGTCTGGATTCGGGCTGTTTGATTGGCTGGTTGTTGTTGCTGGGCCATAGTCCTTGGTGTGTAAGTATTGTCTGTGCGCTGCAAATGGTGTCTGTTTGTTTGGTTGCCTCTGAGTCATAGTCTGGTTTTGGGTTGTTTGATTGGCTGGCTGGCTGTCATTGTCGAGACGTGGTCCGGTTTACATCGCACAAAAAGGTATTTAAAGGCCAGTGCTCTGATAGGTGAGCACAGTTCAAAGTGCATTGAAGATGTCCCCCCCAGATGGAGATGAAACATTTGCAGTCAAAAGGCCAAGCTTGGAGATCAAACTAACAGCCCAACAAAGATGATTAGGGAACTGGAGGTTAAAACATATAAAGAACAATTGCAGGAATTGGGGATGTCCAGTTTAATGAAGAGAAGGATGAGGGAGGACATGATAGCAGCCTTCCAATATCTCAGGGTCTGCCCCAAAGAAGAGGGAGTCAAGCTATTCTCCAAAGCACCTGAAGGCAGGACGAGAAGCAACGGATGGAAACTAATCAAGGAGAGAAGCAACCTGGAACTAAGGAGAAACTTCCTGACAGTGAGAACAATTAACCAGTGGAACAACCTGCCTCCAGAAGCGGTGAATGCTCCAACACTGGAAGTTTTTAAGACGAGACTGGACAGTCATTTGTCTGAAATGGTGTAGGGTTTCCTGCCTGAGCAGGAGGTTGGACTAGATGACCTCCAAAGTCCCTTCCGACTCTGCTATTATTATTAACCAGCAATCCGAGCTACGAATATTCAAACACCTCTCTGTCAACTTTTCCCTATTGAAACAAAAATAATCCACGTGACTTTCTGTAATGGTCTAATCTCTTTTAGGTAAATCCAGATTTGCTAGCTATCTTCTTAAGCTGAAAATACTCTTTTGGGAGAAAGAAAGATGACAAAAATAAATTTATATGAGATGGTCACAGGAGCAGAGAAGATTTTGGAGAGCCGTGTCTGCAGCAGCTGAACGGTTTAAGTAAATCCCGAAGTCCGTTTGTTTCTTTTGCTGCAATTTCCATTTTGAAACATATGTTATCCAGGTGGATCAGGGCAAATTATGAAGGGAAGCCTATTTTATTCGAAGGAAAGCCTCGGATAGTCTCCTTAGTCCTTCTGGAATGCAATAAAGTGGAAAGAAAACTTAACTTCCTAAAATAAGAAACTTTTTTTCTGATTACAATAATATGCTGGCGTTTCCTCTACTGTTTCATGATTTTTTATAGCAGACACTGAAAAGTCTTTGCAATCAGGATGGGGTGCTGGTAAAAGTCTACTGTTCCTGTTCTATTTTTAGCACCTTGCTTAGATTTGACAGGGACCTTTAAATGCAAAGGCCAATTTTTTGCACTGTTGTTGGAAAAAAAATCATTTCTGGATCCTTCCTTCAACTCGATTGTTTTTAATTCAAACCATTTGTGCGCTACTCCCTGAAAAGAATACAGTGGAGCACCCAAGAATTGTAATCCTCTTTCTTATTGTTTGTATATATTAAATGTTTACTCCATCTGTATGGAATAAAGTTACATAAGATACAGATGTTGGGAACCATCTACATCCTAATTCAGCAAGAAAAACAATACTCCCTAAAAAAGAAAGAAAGAAAGAAAGAAAGAAAGTAAATTGGCAGTTATATTTAAATGGGTGCAATTTCTCAGAAAATATAACTGGGATTGTTTTTATAGCTTACTTTTTGAAGAGGATCTGTGACGAGCTCCCAAATAATCCATCCAAATGTAAACAACCGGAGGAAATGAACAAATAAAGCAACAAATTGAGATTATCTAAAAAGTACATCCTTTTCCATCTTCTGGACACAGATGGAAAGGAGTGGCAATTTTGGTGCCATTACGTGACGTGTTAATACCACTTTACAAGGCCTTGGTAAGGCCACACCTGGAATACTGCATCCAGTTTTGGTCCCCACGATGTAAAAAAGATGTTGGGACTCTAGAAAGAGTGCAGAGAAGAGCAACAAAGATGATCAGGGGACTGGAGGCTAAAACATATAAGGAACAGTTGCTGGAATTGGGTATGTCTAGTTTAATGAAGAGAAGGACGAGGGGGGACATGATAGCTGTGTTCCAATATCTTAGGGGTTGCCCCAAAGAAGAGGGAGTCAAGCTATTCTCCAAAGCACCTGAAGGCAGGACAAGAAGCAACGGATGGAAACTAACCAAAGAGAGAAGCAACCTAGAACCAAGGAGAAATTTCCTGACAGTTGGAACAATTAATCAATGGAACAATCTGTCTCCAGAAGTTGTGAAGTTCTTCTTAAAAACACTGGACGTTTTTAAGAAGAAATGTCTTAAAAAAAAAACCAAGAAAGTCCTGTTGCTTCCTGAAAAAGCATCCTTGGGATAACTATGACCTGGATGGCTGAGAGTCTCCATAGACATTTAGCTTTCAGTAAAGTGTTTAGCTTGCAGAAATGAAGCCCTTCCTACCGAGATAGCTCCGTCTTCCTGTCACCTCCTCCCTTTTGCAGCTTAGAGCCCAGATTTTCAGCTTTCCCGCTGATCCCAACTCTTTTGTTGGCAGCCTTATGACCTCACCTGTGAATGTTCCCACTCATCCTGTAAACTGCTTACGTTGCACGTAGGAAATAATCGATATGTGTGTGCACGATTGTGGGAGAAAGATCCTCCCTTCTTTGCGGTAATAATGGTCAAGAAATCCCGGCGATTACTGGAATTAGAATAAAACCCAGGACCTGTAGAGACAGAGATAGATGTTGCAGGATGGTTCGCCACGACTGCATTTTGTTATTGTTGTTGTTCAATCTTCTGGGCCTGTGGTGTCTAACCTGTGTTATTTTTTCTTGAAGGGGAAATATCTATGGAGATTCTCAACCATCCAGGTCTTGGGTGTCTCAAAGGTGCTTTATTTCCAAAAGGCAATTAGACTTTTTTGCGGTTTTTTTGTCCTTTGAAAAGGGTTCGCTTCTTATCCAAGAGGTGTACAATAATAGTAATAATAATAATAATAATAATAATAATAATAATAGTACTACTACTACTACTACTACTACTACTACTACTACTACTACTAGAGTTGGAAGGGACCTTGGAGGTCATCTAGTCCAACCCCCTGCTCAGGCAGGAAACCCTATACCATTTCAGACAAATGGCTGTCCAGTCTCTTCTTAAAAACTTCCAGTGTTGGAGCATTCACCACTTCTGGAGGCAGGTTGTTCCACTGGTTAATTGTCCTCACTTTTGTCCTCAAGTTTCTCCTTAGTTGTCCTCACAATTGTCCTCAAGTTTCTCCTTAGTTCCAGGTTGCTTCTCTCCTTGGTTAGTTTCCACCCATTGCTTCTTGTCCTGCCTTCAGGTGCTTTGGAGAATAGCTTGACTCCCTCTTTTGGGGGGCAGCCCCTGAGATCCTGTCCCCCCTCGTCCTTCTTTTCATGAGACTAGACATACCCAATTCCAGCAACCGTTCTTCATATGTTTTAGCCTCCAGTCCCCTGATCATCTTCGTTGCTCTTCTCTGTACTCTTTCTAGAGTCTCAGCATCTTTTTTACATCGTGGTGACCAAAACTGAATGCAGTCTGAAGAATAAATTCTGAATTCTGACATTTTCTTCAAAGGGAAATAAAGCCAAGAAAGTCCAGTTCGTTTTTTTGGGGGGAAAAGCACTTTTGGGGTGTCTGTAAGGGGCAGTACTCTCCTTGAATAAATGATTCTTAGAGACAATTCCATTTAATATCTTAGATCGGTGTTTTTAAGCCTTAGCAACTTGAAGATGGGTGGAGTTCAACTCCCAGAATTTCCCAGCCAGCTGTGCTGGCTGGGGAATGCTGGGAGTTGAACTCCACCCATCTTCAAGTTGCTAAGGTTGATCTCGATTGAAGGCCTAGATTGGTTCTAAACAACTCAATCTCCCATTCAAATATTAACCAGGTTTGATCCTACTTATCTTTGGGGGATCAGTCAAGGCAGAAACGAGAAACGTAGAATGTCTTGGTATCACATTTTAGACTGGTGCTTCTCATCTTGAAGATGGGTAGACTTCAACTCCCAGAATGCCCCAGCCAGTAAGCTCATTTACAAATTCTGGTAGTTGAAGTCCACACATCTTCAGGATTTTCAGAGTTAAGAATAATGTTAAAGGAGGTATTCATGGGGTGGGAGAAAACTGAGGTACTGTGCGGTGCTGAAAATGTTGAAGCAAAATAAGCACATTATTATCCTAACTACTCTTTTTTCTAAATATATCTATGTGTGTGTGTGTTAAAATATTAGGAAATGGTAAAAGCAGCAATCCTAGAAGAACAAAAGAAAAGTGAGAAAGCTGTAGAAGAAGCTGTGAAGCAAACGAGGGAAGAACTGATGGAATATATCAAGGAGCAGAAAAGAGTAAGTGACATCTTGAAGACAAGAGTGATCCCAGTTTTGGAGCTGGAGAGAAATGATGCAAAGAGTTGGCTCAAAACCTGCTTAGAATTGCTAGATGGCTTGGTTGGGTAGGTGTCCGTGAGAATCAAGGACGATTCACCAGATGTCTGACCTGACTCAGAGACATTTTCTCCAAACAATATAATTCCACCTAATTGAGTATAATGTGACCTGTTCATGGATGGGAGGGGGAATTCTATACTTTTACTAAAGGGGCTTGGACTGGGGTTTACCAGAACTGGTTAAATGTCAAGGTTCTGACTGACGAACCCAACCAAGCAAACACCTTCAAGGCATTCCGATCTCTTAATGTAAAACTTTATTGAGTACATCATTTTGGCACGTATGAAAGCAAAACCAGCTCTATCTATCTATCTATCTATCTATCTATCTATCTATCTATCTATCTATCTATCTATCTATCTATCTATCTATCTATCTATCTATCTATCTATCTATCTATCTATCTATCTATCTATCATCTATCTATCTATCTATCATTATCTATCTATCTATCTATCTATCTATCTTTCTATCTATCATCTCTAGCATTATCTATCTGTCATCTATCTATTTATGCTATTGTTATTGCTATTGCTATTGCTATTGCTTTGCTATTACTATATCATCTATCTATTTCTATCATCAGTCTATCTATATCATTTGGCTATATCTATCTATCATTTGTCTATCTATCTATCTATCTATCTATCTATCTATCTATCTATCTATCTATCTATCTATCTATCTATCTATCTATCTATCTATCTATCTATTTATCTCTACCATCTGTCTATATCTATGTATTATCTGTCTATCTATGTATTATCTGTCTGTCTGTCTGTCTGTCTGTCTGTCTGTCTGTCTGTCTGTCTGTCTGTCTATCTATCTATCTATCTATCTATCTATCTATCTATCTATCGTGCATGAGAGTTCACACACACACACACACACATAGATGTGCACGCACACAGATAAACACAGAACAAAATATTAATGAAATGAATATTAGAACAACTCCTACATCTGCCTACTTAGGTAGGTAAGAAAATATCTAGAAGTGAAAAACCAAATTCCAAAAAATCCAGTTCTGAGCCGTGTATCCTCTCTACAATCCCCCCCAAATTATGTGTAAAATTAAAGTTGCTCTGTGCTGCTTCACGCCAAGCTAAGTAAAACATTTCACAGAAATTCTGGAAAAACTTCAGACTTGGCTGTTGCCAAACCTTTGGTATTAAGGAAATATTTTGTTGTTGGGCAGCCATTAATGATGCCTTCTTAAAAAAAAAAAACCATTTTGCGTCAACGGTAAAGGGAACTTCATTTTGTTCCACGAAATCTATCTGGTTCCTTTCTACTTTGGGGGGGGGGTTTATCCGTTGTAAAAGAAGACCTTGAGAAGCATCCCCAGTTTATTCATGGGGATATTTGTGGTGCAGCTTTTCACTCTGCTGCACAGGTGGTCCTCTACGTCTGACCGTTCGTTTCGTGACTATTCAGAGTTACACTAGCACCGGAAAAAGCGACCGGTGGCCGTTTTTCACACTTAACGCCCGTTTGCAGCATCCTCGTGGTCCCATGATCAAAATTCGGCTGCTTGGCAACTGACTCGTATTTACGACGGTTGCAGCGTCCCGGCGTCACGTGATCCCCTTTTGTGATATTCTGATGAGCAAAGTCAATTGAGACCTTAAGAAAGGGGTAAATTCACTTAACAGCAGAAATACAAAGCTATCTTACCTGAGATAGTCCACTCTGTAGTCCAGCGTTTCTCAACCTTGGGAACTTTAAGATGCGTGGACTTCAACTCCCAGAATTCCCCAGCCAGCTATGCTGGCTGGGGAATTCTGGGAGTTGAGGTCCACGCATCTTAAAGTTCCCAAGGTTGGGAAACCCTGCTCCAGTCCACCATTGACTCTTTCCAGATCTTACCTCGCTTTTCAAAACAGGATTGGCTTATATGCCAACTTCATGTCTGAATGACACACCTTGCTAGCACAGACACACAAAAAAAGAACATGATTTGTACCACTAGAACGGACATATAGGCTTAGACACCAAGCCTTACAAGCCATATCTGAATGTCCCTGCATAAATCCATTGCTTTCCCTTCTCCTGGGCCCTCCCCGCTTGGTCCTTTCGTAAATGCCCAATGGGGCTCAATCTAGGGGTTTTGGTAACAAGCCCTAAAGTTTGGCACCTCTTTGGTGGGTGTTGGTATTTCATTCTCATGCTTGGGTCCCTGTATCTGCCAGGGTCTCTTCCAGGCTGGCATCTCCAGTTCCTTTCATTCGGTCTATGGAGGTTCTCAGTCATCCAGGTCATGGTTGTCCCAAAGGGATCGTGAAAAAAAGCATCTTTGGGACGCTCATCCTGTCAAAATTATTATATTAGCGAAAACACCAAGCAGGTCTGAAGCATTGGTCAGACCAAGTTCAAACCATAACTACGTTAAGATTTTTCCCAGCTAATGCTACTAGTTTTGCCAGCTTTCTGTAAAGTCCCTATTGATGATGATGATGATGATGATGATGATGATGATGATGATGATGATGATGATGATGATGATAATAATAATAATAATAATAATAATAATAATAATAATAATAATAGTAAAGTTGGAAGGAACCATGAAGATCATCTAGTCCAACCCCCTGCTCAGGCAGGAAACCCTAGACCATTTCGGACAAATGGCTGTCCAGTCTCTTCTTAAAAACCTCCAGTGTTGGAGCATTCACCGCTTCTGGAGGCAGGTTGTTCCCCTGGTTAATTGTTCTCACTGTCAGGAAGTTTCTCCTTAGTTCTAGGTTGCTTCTCTCCTTGATTAGTTCTAGGTTGCTTCTCTCCTTGATGAATCTAACATTGTAACATCAGATTTGTAGGAAGTATGGAAGATGGATGTTATGCATGGGTTTATTCTCTGCCAAAATGCCCGATTCCCTACACTCAGCCTGGATTGCAGATCTTACCAGCCACAAAAATACAGGGATGACTCTTTTTTTTTTTTAAATTGGCCATTTATTAAGTGTTCCACTTTGAGACAGGGGGTCAACGAAGCCAGGAACAGATGCATATGCTTTGAGGAATGGTAGGCAAGGATTACATTTGCGTCCCAGGACCCGGTCATCCATACGGCCCAGCAAGTGACCTCTGTGTGATTTGCACCTACACTAGTATTATCAGGACTGTAGCAACACCGAAAGTTTTTACGGGAGGTCTACGAAACTTCGGGAACACCACTTAGGGACGCGTCGGGAACTTCAGTGTTCGACGAAAAGATACCTTGACTCAACTAAATAGAAGTTGCCTTAGGTGAAGTAGGATAAAAAGGTTTTGTTGGCGAAATCGCAAGTTGTAGGAAAATAAGTTTTTCACAGAACGTTTCCTCAAATCACGACATATTTTCATAGAAGGTTCCCAATATATACTTTAGCAATCAAAGCAGGTCACGCATTTCAAAGTAAAACAAAAAAAAAATAATGTCAAGTTTACCACCTTAATTAGGTTCCCCGCTGGCTTCTGGTTTTCCTTTGGACTCGGTTCAAAACTCTGGTTTTGACTTCCACGGCCTTAAATAGCTTGGGACCAGACTAGGCAAAGGACAGGGGTGTGTGTGTGTGATTTAACATTGGCAATCCAGCGGAGGATTCCCCCAGCTTTCAGACTCAAGTAGAAGAAGGCCTTTGAGATTTTGGAGACTCTGCTTTAAACACCTGGAGGATGGGGTTTCTAAAGAGTGTAGCTTCTAAGTTCTAACAGTTGGTGTATTTTATTTGACCTTACCTATTTTGATTGAGTTGTCAAGTGTGGTAGGGTTCATTTATTAGCTAAATATCGAGACCTATGCTGGATGCTGCCATAGATGGGATCTTCACCTCAAATGTAAAACTCAATGCCCTTGTAACCTCTACTTTTAGACTACTGTAACACATTCAACAGGGGGCTAGCCCTGAAAAGCATTTGGAAACTTCAGCTGATGTAGAATGTGGATGCGTTGGTAGCAATAGCAATAGTATTTAGGCTTACATACTGCCCAATAGTGCTTCACAACACTCTCTGGGCAGTTTACAGAGTCAGCCTATTGTCCCCCAACAATCTGGGTCCTCATTTTACTGACCCTGGAAGGACGGAAGGCTGAGTCAACCTTGAGTCCGATCAGGATCGAACTCCTGGCAGTGGGCAGTCAGTCACCCGTTATAACGTAAGATTGGTGCCGTAGGGGTCCCATCCTTTACCACTGACTAGATACCGGATGTATTGTCGTGAAGACACACTCGACGTAACCAATGGCCACACAAAGGTCCACGTTAAGTTCCACCACAACAGTGGAAATCGCCCCATGGACTCCCTAGTGGAAAAAGGTTTTCAGTCACGGACAGGCTCCTGACGTACCGCAATGGACGAGCTGCAAATCCTGTCAGTCAAAGAGTGTCAACCGCGAGGATCAGAAGATGGAGTTTTTCTGCAGTGGCCCTTACTCCGTGTAACATTCTTCCCTTGGATATATTTGAACCGCCCCAACCTTGTTAGCCCAACCTGGCTACATTCTGGGATCCAGTTTCTTAGTTGGCTTGCTAATGGGCTAAGCATCTCGGCTGCTTATGTATATTTATTTGGAATGTTTTTATTGTTTTTTTTAATTGTTCTGAAATGTTTTAATGTTTTAACTGTAATATATATTTTTTGAATTGTAAGCTGCTCGGGGCCATTGACTGAGATGGGCAGCTACAGAAATTGACTGACTGACACTCAAAAACTCAAACTCAACCCTAAACCCTAAACCAGGGGTAGTCAACCTTGGCTCTTTTATGACTCGTGGGCTCAGGAATTCTGGGAGTTGAAGTCCACGAGTCATAAAAGAGCCAAGGTTGACTACCCCTGCCCTAAACCCTAAACCCTAAACCCTAAACCCTAAACCCTAAACCCTAAACCCTAAACTAAACTAAACTAAACTAAACTAA